CCAACGGTCATGCCTTCCCATCGATGGTTAAGCCTTCCCATCGCTGGGTTCCCATCGATGGGTAAAGCTTCCCATCGCTGGGTAAGGGCATTCTGCCTTGTGATAATATTGGACCAAGGCTTGAACAGCGATGGGTAGAGCTTCCCATCGCTGTTTGGCATGGTTCTGGAAGTTGGTTTGGCTAAGGGGCTACTTACCCATCGATGGGATGTTCTTCCCATCGCTGGGTGGGTGGTTAGCCAAAAACCTATGGTTTTTGCCTTAACCACGGCCTAGCCAACCGATGCAAAAACCGACCGAAAAATCCAAAGTTCTCCAAAATAAAAACCAAGTGTTTAAAACACTTATTTGATGTATTTGGCTAATAAATCAGGTGAGACACTTTAAAAATCACGTCATTTGAGTAAAAACCACGGCTAGCCAAGTTTACGCCGTTTTGCGTGGTTTTTGTCAAACGACTAAAAGCGAGAGATGGTTTTCAAAGTGTTTTTGTTGGAGAACCGTTTAAACATGCCAAAGAGTGAAAGAAGATCATAAAATGATGAAAACCACTTGGTTGGTTCGGATGCCAAAAACCAAACCCGACAACCGAAAGCCGAACGCTGGTTTCTGAGAGCCGAACACTGGATGGCTTGGTTTTTGGTTTGGGTGAACACCAAGTGTTTTTAATGACTTAAACAAGTTTAAAACCATTTTTATGATGTAAGAAATGCGAAGAGAGTTTTTAGCCTAAAGAGCCAAGGTGTAAAGATTGGGTCGGTCTTGATCACAATAAAGACCGACTCAATACTATGATTAAGGTCTTCGTTCTTGGTCTTCGTTTAGCTCTTGCTCTTATCTTCGTTCTTCGCCTTGTATATTCAATGTTCGACTTGATCACGGCAGTTTGGCATTATCAAAACCTGTTTCAAAAACGAACACGGCTTTAGTACGAAAACGTGACAAGCCCGTGTTTCAACATGTATGCGTTAAATTTAACTTCCTTCTTCAATCAATGCATTCATGTCATCATGTTCATCCTAGGCGTGTGTCCTAGGTTTATCATCATGTGCATACCGCTGTAGGGAGGTTAGGCTTTCGTGCGCCTACTACAGTGGGCCCGTCCAGGAACCTTTGGGATCCAATGGGTTTTCATCAGGTGGGCTTTGTGTACGTACATGGTAGTCAGGCTACGGCTACCACCCGGTTTTTGGTAGTTCACTTGCGACGTTTTGTCGAGCCCGGGTCATTACCGGAGTGCAGGGGTGATCTTGTAAAGTGAGACTAAGCCAGGGGTGTTCTTAGTAGCTCAAGTCATGCATCAAGTCATATTGTCATCATGTATGTGTCATGTCACGTCAACATTCAATGTGGTTGTCATCATCATGTATGGTTCCCATCATGTCCATATTCAATGTGGTAGTATATCATTTTGTTATGTGTAATAATATCCCATCAAGTGCAAATTAATCAGTTAGCAAACATGTGGTTTTTCCGTACGTAAAGTACAGGTACTTATATGTGTATAACCATATATGGGTTATCACTCCTCAGTTTTTGCTGAGCGTGTAGTTGTTTTTGCTACACGCAGGTAGACATGACGGTACAGGTGCTAACCCTGGAGGATAGTGGTGATGGGAGGATGGGCGGCGCACGGACGAGTTTATTAATTCACCATTTAATTAATTAATCATTTGGGCATGAACCCACCATATGTCGTTTTACTTATTTTGGACTTATCAATTTACTTCCGCTTTTACTCTGCATTTAAATCACACATGTTTTGGAATTAATTCCCTAGCATTTATTTCATCAATTAAAACACAACCGTTTTCATAATAAATAGTTATTAATGCCTTTTTTTTTACGGATGGTTCTCGGACCGCCCATGTAACCCTACCGGTCCGTTGGGTCGCGGGTGAACTGGGTCCACAGAAGGCGGGTGTTACACTGGTTGATCTAGTTCAGCTTCTGGTTGAAGAACAGAGTTTGTTGGTGATTCCGAATGGATTGGCACTGGGTCGCCTTTTCCGGAATTGTCGCCATGTGGGTAATCTGGAATATTGGAGGGCTGGCCAAGATTTCCGGTAGGCTCAGCACCGTCTGAATCTGGATTTCTTTGTGAAGTTTTTAGTGGTAGACTTTCGAATGGAATGAACTCCGTAGGTTTCATCCTATTTCCTTCATTGACTTCTTCATCCTTGTCTGAGAGATCCAGAACCTCATGATCATGTTTTGATGGGTTGTCAACCACATGTTTTTCATAAAAAATAATATGTATTGACTCTTCAGTGATCATGGTTTTTTTGTTGAAAACTCTGAACGCTTTGCTCACCATGGAATATCCTAGGAAGATGGCCTCATCTGATTTCTCATCAAAAGTGTTCAGATGATTCTTCCCGTTGTTTAACACAAAACACTTGCTCCCAAAAATATGGAAATATGATATATTGGGCTTTCTCCCATTCCACAATTCATATGGAGTTTTGTTGTGCCTTTTATAAATCATACTCTTATTTTGAGTATAGCAAGTTGTGTTAACAGCTTTAGCCCAGAACCTTTTTGGCAAGAAAGCTTCTGCTAGCATGGTTCTCACTGCTTCCTTCAAGGTTCTGTTTCTTCTTTCTGCTACACCATTCTGTTAAGGCGTCCTTGCTGCGGATGTCTGATGAAGAATTCTGTTTTCTTCACAGTAATGAATGATGATTTCATTCAGGAATTCTGTGCCTTTGTCAGATCTAATCTTCTGGATGGTCTAACTTGCTTGGTTTTGAATCAGCTTCATGCAGTTTGTGAGCTTTCCTTGAGTTTCCTTCTTGCTGTTGAGGAAGATTGTCCACGTGTATCTTGAGTAATCATCAACTACCACCAGGACATATTTCTTTCCACTTAGACTTATTGAAGTAACATGGCCAAATAAGTCCATGTGAACAAGACTTAATATCCTTGTAGTTGAGGTGACTCAACCTCTTATGCCAAAGGCATAAGAGGTTGAGTCATAAGAAGGTTAGTAGAAGTAACTAACCTTCTACTAACCCTTCTTTGGACATCTTGTTGAGAGTTTTGAAGTTGAGATGACTCAACCTCTTATGCCAAAGGCATAGAAGGTTAGTGTCACCTTTGCTGATTAGGCAAGCTTCCTTGACATCATCCCACATTACTTCATAGATGTTTCGGATTCTCTTCCCAATGAGAATGACTTCATTTGTGGAGATGTTCTTGAGGGATGCCATGTCTTTGTAGAATTCCAAGGAGTAACCTTTATCACAAAACTGACTTATGCTAAGAAGGTTATAATTGAGACCTTCAACATAAGATACATCTTGGATGATTAGTCCTTTGTACACCAGATATCCTAGCCCTTTAGTAAGGCCAAAATCATTGCTTCCTCCAAAAGTAACTCTTGGACCATTATAGGGAATTATATTGCTCAAGAGGCTCGCATCACCCGTCATGTGTCTTGAAAAGCCACTATCTAAGTACCAAACACCTGGGTACTTAGCGGCTTCCTGCATTAGGAGGAGGAAGATTTTGGTACCCAATTCAGTTTGGGTCCGGAATAGTTAATGGTGTGTGTCCCTACATCAAGTTTGAAGTTGCAGGGAATTTTCCTTGCAGCCCTAAACTTGTTGGGATTGTAATCATAATTGTATGCATAAAATTTCCTATGAGCAGGTGGTGCAATTTCCTGTTTCCACCTAGCAAACCTAGGTTGATAAGACCTATAGTTTTGTCTAGGTTGTGCATACTGTGGCCTGTGTCGGTTGTAAGCATACTTAGGTGGAACAAATAGTTTCTGGGGTGGAGGATGACTATATTTTGGCATAGTTCTCCACTCAGAATTTCTTGGAAAACTCCTATCTACCCCATAATGAGTATAGCCTCGCGTATAGTGGGGGTTAGAAGGTTTTCTTCTAAAATTATTTCCTCTTTGAGGTTTGTCCAGCTTCCTATAGTTTTTAGGAGGGACTACCTTTTTGGGAACTTCTGTGGATTTCTCCTTCTCTTTCCCTTTCTGCTTATTGTGTTTGGCAGTAGGTTTAGGAGGGATGAAAGTTGTTCTCCCTTTCCTTTTGGAACTGGAAAGGTCAAACCCAAGTCCTTCACGACCCTTTTGTTTGGTCGCTTCAAGAAGCTTATCCACTGCATCTTTGGACTTAAGTATCCCTAGCTCCTTGTTGAGGGATTTCACCTTTTTAGAGAGAGCTTTATTTTCAGTCTTGAGTTGAGTGATCTCATCTAGTTGACTTTTCCGACCTTCAGTCAAATTGAGATTCTCTTCACTCAATAGCTTGTTCTCCTCTGTTAAGGATGAGTGTTTGAGATTTATTTCCTCAAAATCTTTCATCATCTTTTTGAACTTGTCAAAAAGACTTTCAGAAGTTGGTATGCTTTCATAAGAAGATGAACAGGAGGTTTGTGAAGTTACCTCTTGATCAACATCATCTTTGGCCATTAGGCAGAGGGTGTCATCTTCTGACATAGTCCACCGATCCTCATGGTTGGACTTCTCAGCTCTGCGCTCCATGCAGGCGAGGGCTTCTTCATCCGAGCTTGAGCTGGATGACTCGTCACTTTCAGCTGCAACCATTGCTTTCTTCTTCTTTTCGTTCCTTTCTCTTTCTCCGTACTTCTCCACCTTTGGGTACGGGCACGCTGACTTCCAATGACCAGGTTTCCTGCAGTTATAACACAAATAAGACACAGGAGGGGAGTCACTTACCTGTGGCTTTCCCTTGGATGGCCTTCTGACTGAGTCAGCTTTCTTGAAGAACTTCTTGAACTTTGAGAATTGTTTGACCATCATGGCAAATTCCTTATCATAGTTCTCTATTTTTGAGCTTGTCGGCTGGCTGGAGAAAGGTGTGTCACAGCTCCTTGGGCATGTCCCTTCACTCGGTGGGACTCTGGGAGTTGTCATCAATGCCGTGGGGAAGGGAGTGACTTTTTCTTCCTTCTTCTTCATCAGCTCATGCTCATAGGTTCTGAGTTCATAAAGGAGACCTTGGATAGTGTAGTTCTCTAGGTTTCTTCCTTCTTCCATGGCTGTGGCTTTGGTGTACCACTCAGTTGGAAGAGATCTCAGTAACCTTACTTTCTTTTCTTTGGGAGAAAGAACGTGGTTAAGTGATGCAAGATCATTTAAGATTTTGTGGAATCTTTCATCCAACTTATCAAATGATTCTCCGGGAAGCATTTTGAAGCTTTTGAACTTCTGAAGCAGGACTTCTGTCTTCTGCTTTCTCAGGTCCTCCGATCCCTCACACAGCTTCCCAAGACCTTGCCAAATCTCCATGGCAGTCTTGAGATGCTTGATCTTGGAGAAGGTGATGGGATCAAGTATCTTGAAGATGGCTACTTTGGCGACGTTGTCTAGATTGTGCTTCATGCAATCTCTATCATCCCATTTCTCCTTGGGCTTTGGAATGTACTGGACAACATCAGGATTGGCTGGATTCCTCTGAGGGTTCTCCATTTGGATTTTCAAGGGTCCATCTTCAAGCACCATCCACATGCAATCATGTAGAGCGTAAAGGTGTGCTTCCATCATGATCTTCCAATCATCATAACCTAGAAGAGAAAACTTGGGCAAACCGTGATCCATATTGTTCACCATTATGATCGCTTCTCGTTAATCTAAATGTATATAGTGAGAAGGCTGCTCCGATACCAATTGGTGGTCCCAAAGTGGTGAGATGCAAAGTCTAGAGGGGGGGGGGGGGTGAATAGACTTTGTAACAAATTTAATCGTTTCTTTTGAAAATGTGAAAATAATGTAAATCTAGAGTTGTTGGGAACTTTAGATAGTGTACGAAATTTGGTGGGTATTATGAGCAGTAATGAATATGGATGGGTTAGTTTTCACAGTTAATATGTTGAAACACGGGCTTGTCACGTTTTCGTACTAAAAGCCGTGTTCGTTTTTGTAACAGGTTTTGATAATGCCAAACTGCCGTGATCAAGTCGAACATTGAATATACAAGGCGAAGAACGAAGATAAGAGCAAGAGCTAAACGAAGACCAAGAACGAAGACCTTAATCATAGTATTGAGTCGGTCTTTATTGTGATCAAGACCGACCCAATCTTTACACCTTGGCTCTTTAGGCAAAAAACTCTCATTGCATTTCATACATCATAAAAATGTTTTTAAACTTGTTTAAGTCATTAAAAACACTTGGTGTTCACCCAAACCAAAAACCAAGCCATCCAGTGTTCGGCTCTCAGAAACCAGCGTTCGGCTTTCGGTTCTCGGGTTTGGTTTTTGGCATCCGAACCAACCAAGTGGTTTTCAGCATTTTATGATCTGCTTTCACTCTCTGGCATGTTTAAAGGGTTCTCCAACAAAAACACTTTGAAAACCATCTCTCGCTTTTAGTCGTTTGACAAAAACCACGCAAAAAGGCGTAAACTTGGCTAGCCGTGGTTTTTACTCAAATGATGTGATGTTTAAAGTGTCTCACTTGATTTCTTAGCCAAATACATCAAATAAGTGTTTTAAACACTTGGTTTTTATTTTGGAGAACTTTGGATTTTTCGGTCGGTTTTTGCATCGGTTGGCTAGGCCGTGGTTAAGGCAAAAACCATAGGTTTTTGGCTAACCACCCACCCAGCGATGGGAAGAACATACCATCGATGGGTAAGTAGCCCCTTAGCCAAACCAACTTCCAGAACCATGCCAAACAGCGATGGGAAGCTCTACCCATCGCTGTTCAAGCCTTGGTCCAATATTATCACAAGGCAGAATGCCCTTACCCAGCGATGGGAAGCTTTACCCATCGATGGGAACCCAGCGATGGGAAGGCTTAACCATCGATGGGAAGGCATGACCGTTGG